GATCTTTAAGGATATTCTTTTGTTGGGTTCTGCCTCCCTCAGCATAGAGCTTTTCCAGGCCAGCCTCCAATAGGCTGAATCTGAATTTCCCCAAAGCAAGAGAAATATCTGATGCTCTGGACACAGTAGATCCATACTAGTTGCCTGGCTGGTAACTTTTTTTTTTTTTTTTAATAGGATGACCACCAATAATTCCCCTTAGTTAAACAGAAAATCCTTGAGGTCTGTCGTACAGAGACCCCAACAGGTCAGCTGCTCTCCCTTTCCTCCAGTCTCCTCTCTCAGATGGCAGACATTCTCCCTGGTAAACTATTCCTTTTATAATATCATTGAGATCTAAAATGAAATGAAATCTGAACCTTGGCTATGTCTCGTCACCATGGAAACGACATCAAGCTTGAGTGCTTCCAGGAGATGTGGGTGCTGTTCTTCCACTGCTAGGGAAATAAGGCACTGGGGACTGGACCGAGCTAAAACAAGGTTCTGTTAGATGAGCAGTAGTTTTGGTAATAAACACATCATGTTCAACAAAAGGACTGTGTCACCTGCAGAGGCATGATCAACCTATACTTCCAGTTTTCCACAGGAAGCTTGGTACAGAACATAGCAGTCAAATGAATTGACAGTTCAGATTGTTCTGTCTTTTATGAAGGTACATTTTAAACTCTATTAAGGTGACTCAAAGAATGTGGTAGGGGAAAAAAAGCAAATAGCAATAAACATTTTTGCTTCTGGGAATGGAAAACCAAATTTTTCCCAAGAGACTCCATTATTAAAACCATAAATAAAACACCTCTGATTCAATGTCTTGGTTACTTTGCTCGCATGGCTTTGCACTAGAGAAGTGGCCCAGGCCGTCCAGGGGACTGGGGAGGTGAACCTGACAGCATTCCACTGCCTCCTCTTCAGCCTGGTACCTGCACACCACGCCACCGTGCACAGCTCATGAGCAAATTTTGCTTTACTGAAGACTCCCAAAGATGGTTGCTACGGAATTAAAGGATTAATTTTCTGGCTGATGCCCTTCCCTCTTCTTTGATACACATTCTCTTCTAGAAGTAAAAGCAAGAGTTGAGTACAACGGTGCACGCCAGTAATGCCAGCAATTAAGGAGGCTAAGCCATGAGGGTCACAAGTTCAAGGCCAGCCTGGGAAACTCTGTCTCAAAATAAAAATAAATAATTTATTAAAAAAGGCTAGGTAAATAGCACAGTGATTGAGAACTGCGTTGAAAGACCAGATCTAATACACACAATTCAAAAAAAAAAAAAAAAGGGAATAAGAAAAAGTAAAAGTAAAAGCAAATTGTGTGGTGCAGGAAGCACAAGCCTGATTGCTTAGGTGGTCTGGATTCTTGCCCCAGTGCTGCCGCTTACCAGGCCCAGTAACCAAGGTTACTTAAACTCTGGGTGGAGTTCGAGGGATGAATGTGGCCCACTATGCGCTAGCAGTATTCATCATAGTGAATTCCAACCACTCAGCAGAAAGACATGGGACATTTGCTAAGTCCTATTTGTGCTGGGCACTTTATGGCTATCATTTTATTTGTCCTCGAAATAGCTTCGGTTGTTGCTGGTATCTCCGATTTACAGATGACAGAAACTAGTCCCGATAATCACAGTGACTTTCTCAAAGTGATGAATGTACAAGCATGCAGTCAGGCTTCAAATCCCCATCTGTCCAGCTCCAGAGCCAATGTTCTTTCCACTCAACCCTGTTAATTTCTGGGCTCATGTGATTGGGACAGATCATTAACATTATTTTAAATAAAGTAAATATAATTCAATAGTTCTATACAGGGTTCAAATAATTTGCTAATGCCTTCGAACTTGAGCTTCTCTCGTTATTGTCTTATTAAAACGATCCCACATCACTTGGGAGTTAGAAGTATCTTCATCCTACATGAACTTTAATACTTGGCTTGTTGCTAGGTAGCCTGCAGAGTTACCCTTGAATGGGCCCCACAGAGATGATGTCAGGTGTCAGGGTACCTTAGTCACTTCCACCTGGGCAAGTTTTAGGATTTTTTTTTTAAACAACTGAACCAGTGAAACAATTGAAGAACTGAATGTAAATACTTTCTTTCTTCTCAAAAGAAATATAAAATTATAGTCCTACAAGCAACTGTCATAAAATCATATAAAAGTCTAATATAATGACTCTTCCTCAGTTCTAAGCTCTGTACTTCAAGAACTTGAAAGGACAAGATTTCCATTTTATGGAAAAAAATGAATACAACAAGAGAGAACAAAATATCCATGACATTTTGGGTATGTGCTTAGATCTGTTAAAAAGTTCCTATATGGTAGGTATTTCACTGCAGGCTGGGCCACAGATAGGATGTGGGCTTCAGAATCAGAAAAATCAGTTAAAATCCTAGCTTTTCCATGGGCATGTTATTTTGATGCTAGAGATTAATCCCAGGTCTTTTTTATTTTTTTGAGATAATGTCTACTTAAATTGCTGAGGCTGGCCTTGAACTTGAGATTCCCTTGCCTCAGCCTTCTGAGTTGCTGGGATTAGAGGTGTGTGCCACCATGCCCAGCTCCATAGGCATGCTATTTATAAAATCTCAGAGCCCCAATTTCCTCATCTGTAAAATGGAAGGATTATTGTGAAAATTAAATAAAGTACATAAAGAGCAAATAGGATATTCTTCATCCCACTATCAATTCAAAATAAACTTTCAGAAATCTATATAACAATTTTCCTTTTTCTGAGGTGGGGTCTTGATATATTGCCCAGGTTGGCTTGCAAATTATGGGCTCAGGAGGTCCTCCTGCCTCAGCTTCTGGAAAGCTGGAACTACAGAGGTGTGCTTCTAGGCCCAGCAAGCAATAGCAATCATTTTATTGATTCCTTACCATGTGACAGGCTGCTACGTGCGGGTGGCACACACCATCAAGACAGACTGGGAAAATGTCATGTAAAAGCTAAGCAGAATCAACAAGGCTGGAGGAGAGGCTAAAATTTGCAACACGTTATAGGGAAAGAACCCAGAGTCCTAAAGTCAGATGGCTTACGGTTCCTGATTCTATCTCTAATAATGAAACTTGCAAAACTTCAATTTCATAATCTACAAAATGAGGATACCAACATTTGTCATAGCTTTCCTACTGGATGATGAGAACTTCTAGGACAACGTGGGGAAGCACCTCATTTTGAGGACCCTGCTCCAGGTCAGGTCAGCAAAACACTCAACGCCTAGCACCAACCCAGGCACTCTGTGAAGGCTGATGCTTGCTCCTTTCTTCCCCCTAGCCTTATCTCCACAGCAGCCGCCATGGGGAATAAGAGCTTGGAAGAACAAGGACCCAAGGATGGCTGGCCTGAGACTGGTTGTGTGCGGCACATGTTATTTTTTCTCTTGTCCCAGTCTGCAAAAGAGAAACAAGAGTGAAATGATAACAGGCATGTCCACTGAAGCAAAACAGGTCACAGGAAGAAGATAATACTCAATGACAAATAAAAGTCAACTGCAGCTGGACCCTGAAAGGGTAGGTGAAAATCCATGGGAAATAGGGAAGGCATGTCCTTTTGTGTGGAATAGGCTTTTAAAATATTATCACCAAGCCAGGCATGGTGGCACACGCCTCAAATTCCAAGGACTCGGGAAGGAAGCTGAGACAGGAGGATCATGAGTTTGAGGCCAGCGTGGACAATTTAGCAAGACTGTCTCAAAAATAAAAAGGGAGGTGGGGATGTAGCTCAGTGGTGGCGCACCCCTGGATTCAATCCTCAGTACTGCAAAATAGTAAACATTATCACCAACGTGAAAACACACACACTTTTGCAGTTTTACCATCATCTTTGCTGTTTAGGCTGCCTGTGCAAGGTGGAGCTCCTAAGAGATACAAAATGTTTATAGTGTAAAACAATGACAAAAATCTTCAGCCTTGTTAAATGAAGGCACCAGACATAAAATATCCACATTGATTTGATATTCAAGACTGTGTACATATGGGTAAGACCCAAGGAAGGGTACTTGGAAAACAAAAACAGCTGATTAGGACAGAATTGCTTCACCCAGTGCCTGAAACCTAATATTTGTTCAATCAATACTTGTTGAACCAGCAAGAAGACTTGATTTTTATTTTTCATATTACAACTGTGAATACATTTGTTAGCTAATCAGAGATAATATACCTTTATGACATATTTTGTTGTTTTGTACCCCCCCACACACTTTTGTCATCTTATGCCCAAAGAAACTGATATCATCATAAAAGCTTGTAGGGGCTGGGGTTGTAGCTCAGTGGTAAAGTGTTTGCCTAGTATGTGTGAGGCACTGGGTTCAATCCTCAGCACCACATATAAACAAATAAAGGGATTGTCTCCTTCTATAACTAAAAAAACAAAAACAAAAACAAACAAAAATCATTACCCTCCCCCTTAAAAAAACAAACAAGCAACAACAAAAAAAAACTTGCAGACCTGGGCATGGTGGCAAATGCCCATCATCCCAGTGACTCTGGAGGCTGAGGCAGGTTCAAAGCCAGCCTGGGCAACTTAACAAAATCCTGTTTCAAATAAAAAGGGCTTGGATGTAGTTCAGTGGTAGATTGCCCCTGGGTTCATTCCCTGATACCACACAATAAATAAATAGTAAATAAATAAGTAAATAAATAAATAAATCTAGGAATGTGGGGTTTGGTACAGAGAACTGGATAAGTCACTAATGCATTTCAGTTATGTAAAGCAAGCAGAAGCATTGGTAGATAAACTAGAGATCAGCTATTTGTTCATTTATTGGTCAACTGTCTTGGAAAAATAACCCCTTAAGATCTTAGTTGACAGGTCTGTGACTGGGTGATTCCTCCTACAGCCCTTTCACTACTTTAAAAGTTAAATGTCAAGACAAAACATACCGGGTTATTATGTCATGTGCATGTGTGGAAATAGCATAATGACTCCCACTATTACACATAATTATAAAGCATTAATAAAAATATTAATTAAAAAGTGTCAGGCCAATGAAGACAGATGGATTCTCAAAAGAGTTAATATTTGAAAACTTTATTTTCTCAAATGAGCACCAACACAGATCAGAAATATGACAGAAACAATGCACTTCTCTAATACTGCATCACTATGTACAAATACAGGAAAAGGTGAAGACAAATTATTTGATAACAATTACCTTTGTTATCAAAGCCAAGTGACCTGAAAAAATGCCAACAAAGACAAAAACAAAACAACCCAAACCCAACAAATACAGTTTGTAAACACAAGCATAAATAGATTCTGTATTGTAAGATAGTCTCTGCAGGTTGGGAAAAGGGAACCAACTCCCACTTTCACCAAAATGTTATAAAACACATGGGCAGATAGAACTGGGTAACAAGAGAATCCTTGTTTCTTGGCTTTATCTTCTACTGCCAGTAAATTTTATGACCATACTTTTTAAAAAAATTAATCTTTTTCTCTTCTCATAGGACTAGCATGTTTTCGCCTTTGTGGCAGATTATTTTAAAATATGTGAATTGATTGTATTCAAGATTTGATTTCCCAGCCTCTTCATGAACCTGAGGCAATCTGACCTTAAAAAAAAAAAGCTGTTTACCTAGAAGGTATGTGTATTATGTTATTAACGTTCTTTTAACCCAAACCAGTTAATGTTTAACATGATGTGGCTTCTAAAACAACCAGAGCCCTGGGACACGTGATTAATACGCTCACATCTCAGTTAAAAGTACAGATTTGACTCTGCTTGCTCTTTGCAAACAAATTTCCTTTGCAGTCTGTGAAAGTTGAGCACACAAAGAAAAAAAGGAACAAAATGCAACAGCTCTGTGCTCAGGAAAACAAAGATCTCGTGGTTTGTGCTGTTGGTCCACTCAGAAACAAAAACAACCAGAGAGAAAGAAGAAAAACCTTATGTGCCCACAGTGTAAACTATAGTTACAGTGTCCCCCAAAAGAAAAAACAGGAGGCACAATCCAAAATGCTTTCACTCACATTCTCTCTCTCTCTCTCACACACACACACAGTCAATCAAATTCAAGATCCTGATTTGTTGGATTTTTTTCCCCCAACAAGTGTAATTACTCTAAATTGTTACTACTAAATTTACTTGGTTTTATTTATTTTCTTTTCTAGTCAATATTAGTGCAAGAAAATATTTCCGTTTTCAACCTGGTAATTTACTGCAGAGTCTGTTCCATGGTAGGGTGGTGGTAGTGGGGGATACAGACAGGCATTGCTTTAAAGCCTTAATCCAGATTAAAGTGAGATATCCTCAAAAAAGAAGAAAAAAAAGTACATTGGTGATTACTGTTTCCCTTAAAATATATTTCAAGAAATGCAGAGGAAATCATAGAATTAAAATAAAAAGTGCTCTCAGGGGATCTGAGAAAACAGCACCAAATATATTATTTAAAAAATTAAATATTATTTACAAAAGTATATTTCACAAGCAACTTTTTTTTCATATATATATGTATAGATATATCTACTTGAAAATCTTATCATAAAGGGGACACCTCTTTGCACACACTGACCCACTAGTAAAGACTAACTTTACCCTGTGTATGTGATCTTGTGGTCACAGGAGCTGGGGTAGTACTCAGACCCAGCTGAGAACTTGTGGGCATCAAGTTTGGCTCTATTTGATTTATGTCAAATCAACCCATCAGCAGCCTGAGACTAATATCCCAGGGGCGGGGGTGGAGGCCTGGGTGCACTTCAGGGTGGCCAAGGCCATATGACCTAGGGTGGTGCAGGGGGGCTGGAACACAAATCTGCTAGCTGGTCTTCAGTTCAAAATGAAGGCAGCTGCTGGCTGAGGTATAGAACTTCCCGCTTTTCCCTTTCTCACTTCTCCTTTTCCCTTCTCCCCGTAACTCCACCCCCGAGTTTAATCAACAAACTCCAATTCCCTGAACCTACTTAGGGTGAATGGATGAGGTCTTTGGTTATGCTCTGGGTCAATAATTTGGTGAGAAAATTAAAGAATAAACTGACCAAGGCCATGGGGGTTGACGGGTCTCCATTGCTCAGCTGTGGCCTCTCCAATACTGCTAAATGATAGACAAACCACAAATAGAGCTAGTTATAAGAAGCACTTTTGGTTTCACTGACACAAAGGGAAGCCTAATGAGTTGTTTTTCCCCCTGTAGTTATGGAAAAACCTACACTCTACTCAGATCTCTTGCACCAAGTATGGTGCCATCCACCCACTGGATGCTCAATGGATGGTGACTGGAAAAAACCCAGCAGCAGGGTCTGATTGGAAACTGCTCTGATCCATGCTACAGTCAAAGGCCCCATCTCCAAGGAAGAACAGTGGCACATTGGTCTCCTTCTCTGCCCCTTGACAATTCTAGGACATCCCATGTCCACGTGACTACCTTAAAACTGTAGATTTAAAGACAAAACACCTGTCTTCATTTAATCCCATTTTCTTTTTATGAAAGAGACTCTTAATAGCCAGGATAGTCCCTGAGCAAAGGGTCTATCTAACTGAATCCACAAATGAAGGCCACTTGCTTCAGGAGGAAAAGAGGGGGAAATCCATGATTTCTGTCATGGCAAGCCAGCTTAGGAATGTGAAAGTTGGAAAATGTTTGAAAACTTGGGCCTGGGAGCAGAAATTAAATACTTCTGAACCTCAGTCTGCCTTGCAATAAAGGGAGGGAGAACAACTTAATCTCTACGGCTACTTCTTAGACAAGAAGCCCTGGAGAACAAAATTCAATGTTTTCCCCCTTGGTACTAGGGACTGAACCCAGGGGCACTCTACCACTAAACTACATCCGTAGCCCTTTTTATTTTGAGATAGGGTCTCAATAAGTTGTTGAGGCTGGTCTGGAACTTGAGTTCCTCCTACCTCAGCCTCCCAAATTGCTGGGATTATAGTGGTATGTCTCCATGCCAGTCCAAAATTCAATTTCTAGAAATCCTTCTGTCTTTAAAGAGGAGAGGCACGCTTATTGCCAAACATGGAACTACCCTGTTTTCTGTCATCCTGCCATCTGCCAGGGGCAGGGCAGGACCATGACTGTCTCAAATCTCCCATTCTACAGTCAGCACATGGAGACACAAAAGGTATTTCCATCGTAGACTCCTTTCTTATGGGAATTTCGTTCTGTTGCTGATGAGATTCTGAAAATGTCTGAGGGTTTGCAGCTTTACTCTTAACCAACTTTACAAATTCTTATCTCCATGAACCCACTCTTTGTGAGGCTGTTAAGGTGAATTTTCCTATAGGAGCAGCCTGCTTGGAGGACTAGAAGGTTTGAATTACCTCATCTGCAAGTATCTTAATATTTTCAGTCTAAGAAATGAAATTGGAGTTTCAGTCCTGCACCATGTACCTGGATGAATGGCTGCAGAGGAGACTTCACAGTGTTGATGAAATGGATCAAACTTTTTTTTGTAAGCCTTTTTTTTTGTAAGGGATCTGTTCTTCACTTCCCTAATGCTCTGAAGTTTGCATAGGGAGGGGGAGGAGAAAGGGGGTAATATTCGGATTTGTAACCCCTCCTCATTGCTGGACCAGTCTGACAGATTTCTCTCCACATAAGACACTGAAGGTCCAAGAAGAGTAACCAACCAGGTGATCCCTAGGCTCAAGGCCTTTATCTTCCACAGAAAAACACCCTGAACACTACAAAGAATCGCTGATCCCACCGAAGCCACTGCGTATCCAAAGAGCAAAGATGCACCTAACCTGGACTGGTTCAAATCTGAACTATTCTTCATACTGTTCCAGTCAGCTTCTTCCCCTGGCAATACGAATCAGTATTGCTAAGGGTCAGGGAAAAGGGGTAGACGGTCAGCATTGCTAATATTTGTACTTTAAATTTTTCTGGCTCAAAATCTGAGCTATTTCTTTAGGAGCTCCCAAGCACCAGCCCCTCTCTTATTCGCTGCTTGCCTGAATTCCTGATTTTACTTGGTTGCTGGTCAAAGCCTTTGGGACATTTGCACCTTGCGTACATTGCCAGTGTCCTCTGCCCTCACACACAGTGGCTAAGGAAGCAGAGATGATTGCCCAGGGGCCGAGTGAGGAACCAGATCAGAACTCATCAGGGCCTCACCTATCTCACTCACTGCTGCCAGTACATGCCCCAGCTCAGCCCAAGAGAACTAGGCTCTTGCCCTGTCAGCTAGAATTAGGGCCACTGCTTGTGCTCATTTGCTATCCTGGCACACGTGGTGTCACGTACAGAAGCTTCTGATCAGAGATATTGCAGCCATGAGGTATATTTTTTTTCTCTTTGTCCTTTTAGACAGGTTGATTATTTCAAGCCTAAGTTACCAGGTCTCCAGGAGCAGTGCAATTTTGTTCCTACCTCAACCCTCCCACCCTCTGCCCATTCCCAGGACCCTTGGGATTCCCCCTTTTCCCTCTTCCTAATGCCCACGTGCCACGTCACTGCTTTCCTGACAAGAGGCCATCAGGCAGCTCTTGCATGGGCCCTGGGGCCCTTTCCAAGGTGGGCTGCCGCCATGTGGTCAAGGATCTGTTCCTTTTGTTGTTTTTGTTTTCAGCCAACACTAGAACAGAGAGAGAAGCCAGGATCAACTCACAAACAGATACAAAGCAAAGAGACAGAGAGACGGCAATTTAGAGGCCGGTCACCAGAAAGATGGTGTCAGTGTGGGAGGATGCCCCAGATGGGAAGGCCCCTAAATGGATGGAACCAAGTGTTCAGTCACTCTCTCACGCTTGGGTAGAATGTTCAGTTAGATGGCATTCACATGGACACTGGGTTGGGTAGATGGTGTCGGATCAGTCCCAGCCATTGTCCTTGATCATGTGTGCTAGTTCAATGATGTATTTGCCTTCTTTATATTTCTGGCTGCTTTCAAAAGCATGTTCCTATGAAACAGAGAAAGAGAAAAGAAATTCAATGACCAACAGGTAACTTTTATGGCATAGAAGCAGAGGCGTTGTCAACAACAGGCATCAGAACTGATGGGACTGAGGTCCCATCCAGGCTTCACCCAGACCCACTGAGAAACTTGTCACCACTCAAGCATTCTGTCTCCTGCACTCAACAGCAGAACTGAGGCAATACCGGGACTTCCTCAGTATTATGAAATAATTTCATCAGGATCTTTGCATTTTTAAGTCTTTACTCAAATGTCACTATCTCAGAAAGATCTTTCCCAGCTGTTCTACTCAAAACCCAACTAAATTTCACCCCTGCACTCCCTCTCCCCTCCCCAAATTAGTTTTTGCCCATAGTATTTATCATTTTCCAACATACATTATAATCTGTAGTTCTGTTTTATTATCTGTCTCCCTTGGTGATAATATAAACTTCATGGATGGCAGACATGTTCATGTTTTATTTCATTGCTGTGTCCCCAAGACAGCTGCGAGGCACCTATCAAATCTTTAATAAATAATTGCTAGGGCTGGAGTTGCAGCTCAGCAGTAGAGTGCTTGCCTAGCACACAAGTGAAGCACTGGGTTCAATCCTCAGCACCACATAACAATAATTAAAATAAAGGTATTGTGTCCATCTACAACTAAAAAATAAATAAAATAATTGCAGAATGAATAAGTACACATTCAGTGAAGGTAAAAGAGTGAGAGTATTCCTATGAAGAAAAGAAAAAGGGCCGAAGAGGTAGTTCAGTGGTAGAGTGTTTGTCTAGCATGCAGGAGGCCCTGGGTTTAATCACCAGTAGCACAAAAAAATAAATACATAATCTCAGGGGAACTTGATGCCAACCAGATCTATCTACAAAGTTTCCATGTCATTTCTGCTAGTTTCTAGGAAAAGTCTGGTTATAATTTTAAGCTGAACTTGTTAACCTTAGAGAAAAGACAGGAAGAGAAACCAGGTACTATGAGGCCAAACAGGTCTCTCGGCCTTATTTCCTTGTTCTTGCTGTTTCCCTGTCAGATAAGTCAAGCATGTTTTTCCTTCAGACTTTCTCCAGGGAGACAGGAGCTCTATAAACGCAAGGCTGAAGAACCTGGCAGCCCTCAAGCCCTAGCCAACTGCTAGGTCTCCAGAGGGAAACCTCAACACCTGGCAGGTTACTTTCTAAATTTACAATACTGCGGGCACTCCCAATTAATAAGCCCCACAGAAAACTGTCCCGCACAGGTTCGGGATAAATGGTTATTTTATTTTCAGCAACAGACATCTAAGAACATCGTGGTGTATTATCTGAGAACACTGCTCCCTAGAGCTGACACGTGACTAAGGTCAAGGTGCAGAAGCAGCGACATCAGCTGTTCCTCTAGGGCCCTGGAATTGAGAAACTAAAGCCTATGTGGTGGGTTCCTGCAGCTCTGCATGAACAGTACCATAGACTTTTGGGTTTCAGAGCAAGAGTTTCAACTCAATCTCTTGTTGAGAGGAATCATTCACAAAATAGAAGGAGAGAGGAACCAAGAGAGAATAGTTATAGGCTCAGTAGCAATTTCCCTCACACTTCATTATACCCCTGTGCCGTGTGTGTGTGTGTGTGTGTGTGTGTGTGTGTGTGTGTGTGTGTGTGTGTAAGTGCACAGGGGCATGCACACTTACACACAATAGAGGAAGTGGTTTGGAAATAGATAAATCATTCCACAATAAAGAGTTCAGGTGGTGGGCTGGGGATGTGGCTCAAGCGGTAGCGCGCTCGCCTGCCATGCGTGCGGCCCGGGTTCGATCCTCACCACCACATACCAACAAAAATGTTGTGTCCGCCGAGAACTAAAAAATAAATATTAAAAATTCTCTCTCTCTCTCTCCTCTCTCACTCTCTCTTTAAAAAAAAAGAGTTCAGGTGGAGGAAAAAGGAAAAAAAAAAAGAAAATTCAACTGCCCTGAGCCACAAAGGCACTTGCAAAATATCAGGACTGGAGTCTACAAAATCACCAACGAATCCACCTTGAGAAGAATCACTTAACCACTTGACTTTCTATTCAATCACAATTGGGGATAATCACAAGATTGTTTTGAGGGTCAAAATATTTTAGTAAAAACCAGAACTGTGCATGCCCCCACCATCACTCACTCAGAGGGATGGGTGATGGTGAGAGGGGCAAAATGGCCAAGGCCAATTTCTCCCACAATGAACAACAAGCAGCGCGTAAACCATGTTGTCATGACAAAACATACTGTCTCGAGTCTTTCTTCCTAGCGCTGAACATTTCCAAAGAGATGCAAAAAACTGAATCTGAAAGCAGTTCTTCCACCTGTGGCAGTTTTTAATTTTCTTTTTAAATCACTTGCACATTTTCAAGTGTTATTTAAATGGAATTATACATGTGTGTCTGGCATCTATTGCTCATACTATTTTATTTATTTCCCCCAATATTTTTTTTTATTTTTCAAGTCATATTAGTTTCATAGCTAAATTGAGCAGGAAGTATAGATATTTCCCATATAACCTCCCTACCACGTCCCAGACACCCCCACTATTACAAACCCACGGAGTGTTCCACTTGTTACCACTGGTGAATCTACAGCATTAACCCTGCAGTAGTTTTGATTATTCCCTTGGGCTCCTTCCCAAACCAATAGTAGGTCAGAAGCCACATGACAGGATGGGGAATTTGAGACATTTTACATAGAATAAATCACCCTCCCAATGACAGGGAGACCAATTTTTCAATATCCTCAAAATGACAGGGCAAAACAAAAAGTACTGTGGTATACATGTAAGTACAAATGCTGGCAGAAAAAGATATGCCAATAACAACAATGTAAGCTTATCTTCACTAACATAAGCTACATGCCAAGTGATGACCTAAGTATTTTACAAAAGCATTATTCTACTCAAAGCACTAAAAACTCTATGAGTAAGGAGAATGAAATAGCTGCCTAAGGACACACAGACAAATAAATAAGTGATAGAGCCCAAATCTGAACCTGACTCTAGCTACCTAAATGCTACTTAGCCACCAGCCAAAGGGTCAGTGGGGCTATGTTTAAGGTTGTTTGGTGACTCTAGTACATGTTAGAATACCTAGTCCTCAGAGTCTTTAAAGAAACAGATCCCTGTCCTCCTCTTACCCTGACAAAAGAATATGCACTCTTCCTAGGTCCCAAAGGGACCTTAATTTTCTATGTTGAAAGAATGAATTGTGCATCTGGGAGAGTCCAGCCATAACTATATCCACAGTGAACATGTGGAGAATGTTTGATGATGCCCAGCACATGACCTAGGACCTCGGCAACCTTCTCAGAGCATTTACACTTCTTCAAAGTACAGTGATTTAAGAGCTCGGTAGTCAGACAACTCAATGGATTCCTTTCCTGTTTTGGCCATTTGATGGCTGGATAACCTTGGACATACTATTAACCTTCCTCAGCCTCAGTACCCCAATCAGAAAATAGAGATAAAATAACATCTAACCTCTAGAGATGCTGAAAAGTAAATATTCATCTGTCAGCAAATGTTATATGCTGTTAATATTATTAAGTCTACAAGGGTGTGTGTGAATATGAGTGAACAGGTGTAACAATGAATTGGAAGTAGAAAGAGTATTGTAGATAGATGACGGCACCAGGTACTGCTCAGCTTCCTGTCCTGGTCAAGGATATTTCCACAAGGCCACAGGAAGCAAAAGAAAAAAGCATTCTTCTAACGTGAAGCCCAGTGCTAGTCTCTTCATAGGCCCCTCAAGCAGACTCCATTATACTTACATATTTCCAGCCCAGAGTGGTTTTGCAGTTTTCACAGTAAATGTCTGCAACTGCATGTAGTCCGGTGAGCAACACTCGCTCCTCTGCAGGCCCACAGCCCACATTAACTCTATGCCAAAAGAGAGAACAGGAGAACAGGTAGTTAGTCACATGTAGTACATCATTCATTGTTCAGGCTGAACTTCCAGCAAAAATCCAACCAGACAAGGCTGTCCCAAGGGAAGTCAACACTAAGAGCCTCATTTAAAACTTAAGAACATCCCTCCAAAGGTAGACACACAGAAATCTCAGTTGCAATGAATTCCAGACCTGCAAGATTTGATTCACTGGGTCTACTAAGATAGTCCTGATTGAAACTTTGCTTAAGATTTAATTTTTCTAACAAATGCTTTTAATCTCATGACTTAAATGGAGGAAATCCAAGCCATGGGCACAGGTCCTCAAAGTTTACTGAGGACTAAATGAAGCCAAATATGCCACACAGTTTTGTCCTTATCATAACAATGAATCCTGAACATTGCACATACTACTCCTTCACAGAGCGCCTATTTCAAAGAGGGCCTTAGATTTCCATTTTACAGTTCAAAAGGCTATGTAAGCTTCACCTTCCTTTCCCAGGAAGATGTTATAAATCACACATCCAGAGATGACTATGGGCTGCGTACGCTGTGTCACAGCCTCTAGTAGAGGCTAGAGGATCTTCCCTAACTCAGCCTTCCCTCCATCTTTATGTTCTTCAGCAGATCCTGGTGGAGATCTTTTTCACCCTCTCTCCCCACAGTGACAAATCTCACATCTGGCTTTGAGACTTCCATGTTGAAGCTCCCTCAGAAACTCCTCAGCTTCTTCCCTATGGGATTATTAGGGGCACTGTGGCGAACAGAGTATTTTCAGCCAGAGATGTTGAAAAAAAGAAAGAAAGAAAGAAAGAAATATCCCCAAAGGTTACTGACTGTTGTAACACTCCACAGAGTTTTTGTTACAGAAGTCAGGGTCCACAGTTGAATTGTTGAGAGTTGCTCTTCCCATCCCTCAAAATTTGCACCAAACAATGGATGCACCATTCAGAGACACTCACACTGAGTTAAAGAGGTATGCTCGTCCTTGACTTCCTTGGAACGACTGAAATACAAGAAAACAAATGGATGGTTAGATGTCCATTTCACCCACCCATTTGGATAACTAACCCCAAATCATAACAAACAAAGCCTTCCAGGATTGACACAGAAGGGAACAGTAAGCCAGCTCACAGACTAGCTGGCAGATGGCATGAGGAGGGGGAAGAAGGCCACATTTGCACTATTTCACCAGCTTAGGTGAGAAGATGGGGGGCAGGGCATACCAAACCCCACTCTGTCACTAAAAACTGCTTCCCTACTGAGGTTGCCTGAGATAATTAATCCGTTTGAGATAATTAATCCATATTCACTTCTCCTAGTGCTACTTGATTTCAGCCATCTGTGCTGGCCACAGTTTTCCCACATCGGCTGGGACATAGAAAACCAGCAAGAGGCACCTTTCTTTGTTCTCTTGGTCCTTTCCTACTGAAGGCAGCAAAGAACAAACAAACCATTTATCACTCATCTTGCCCTTCTGTGGATCCTAACTGCCACAACAGTCACCATCCTCCTAAATGGGATCATAGAAGCTCCCCTTCTGAGGTGTAAGCAACTTGATCTCTACAGCACAGAAATGCTTACTAGGCAGTAATCCCATCTTAGCCTCTAGCTTCTTTCTTCCGGCTGGGGAATGGTGAGGGGAAAGGACAAAAGAGGAGCCAGAGCTTGCCATGCAATCTGACATCTACTTCCATTAACATAAGCCCTGTCCATGTTTTCCTCCTCTGGTTACACTGAGAAGTCTAGCTGACATGAGCCAGCCATGTTCTGCATTGCTGTCTGCATTTTTAATGTGGTATGAAAATTTTATCCTGAATTTAACATCCAAGCCTGCTCTGAAAACCACTTTAAAACCAACAGCTCTAAAAACAAACAAACAAACAAACAAACAAGGGACTCTGAAGAAATCTGGAGGTGACTAGTTAATAAATGACTAGAGGGTAAAAGCACCAGACAGGGCACAGATCACTATGCATGAATCAGTCATTTGTCAGATGTGCAGGATGGCAGAGACTGGAGCTGCTAGCCACCGAGTAAGGCAAAACTCTTTACTTGGGCAAAAACTGTCTCTAAAGCAGCTGGAGTGTTGGTTGCCTCCAATAGTCCAAGGCATGCCAGGTACAGCTTCAAGGAGAAAGCAGATGTTCTGCAGCTGCTGCCCAGACCTGCACAAACTCTCTTCTTTTTGGGATCTTGAAACATCCCTAGGGAACATAAGACCTCCTAGGCACAACTGAGAAGCTCCGGGTATCACAGCCTTAAAACATGAATCCTAGAGGCCCATGCCAAATGTTTCAATAGACAATGTCCCATTGACATAAGACTAGATTTTTTTAAATTGTTTTTATAGTTGTAGATGGATACAATACCTTTATTTTATTTATTTATCTTTATGTGGTACTGAGGATTGAACCCAGGGCCTCACCTGTGCTAGGCAAGCACTCTACCATTGAGCTACAACTCCAGCCCAAACATAGGCCTAGATTTGGACAAATTGTTAGTTCAACCTTGGAGCACAAAGACACCCCAGGGTTTCAAGGGCAGCCAAAGCTTCAATTTCTGGCTCCACCCACTCCTCTGGTCTCTGTTCTTGCTACTTTCCTTTGCTCTAGTCAAAATAAGCCACATGTGGTGCATTTCACCAACTTTGCCCATGGATGATGGTCCCTCTGATGGGAAAGCTCTCCCAACTTATCCCTTCTAAGCCTCAGCTCAGCTCCTCTTTTGTAAGGCTTCCCAACCTCCCTAGGAAGAAACACCATTGACACCCATGTTCTGGACCCCTCTTGTTCCCCATGTTTTCTTTTTTCTCAGCATTTAATATCCTGGATTTAAATTGTCTGCTTAATTCCCTCACAAGGTTGTGGGCTTCCTGAAGGCCTGAGCCATGTCTCCAATCTCTCTGAACCCTTAACACATATTTGAATCTTGCATACAATATGCATTTAATATTTATTCCAGATAGAACTACTTCTAATTTTTTTTTTATTAAAAAAATTGTATCAAGGTCTGAAGTATAATAAACTACATATTTAAAGAATACATTGAACACTTCTGGTTCTGATATCTGCACATACCTGTGATATCACTATAATCCATAGTAAGATTATGGGTTATCTGTCACACCCAAACATCCCTATTCCAGCCTCCCTTTCCTCTTCTTCTCCTTCCCAGTTGGGACACACAGGCAACCATTGCTTTTAATCACTCATTTGTAGGTTCTAGAATGTCATATAAATGAAATCATAGAGTGTGTAGTATTGTTTTTTTTAAAATCAGGTTCTTTCACTCAGCACAATTCCTTTAAGATTCATCCAGGTTTTCTATAAATCAATAGTTCATCCTCTTTTTATTATTGAACAGCATTCTATTCTATGGATATACCAGAGTTTATTTTTGGTTTGATTATTTAATGTAAGATTTTGACCTCAGAGTCTCCTTCCAGCTCCAAAATTATATTCTTTTATGAATTCATGGTTCTAAATTATATGTAATCAGGTTCACTATCCTCTAAAACACATTTGCTAAGACCTTCAAGTTCACCACTAGGAAAAAGATGGCTACAGGAAAACAAATCCTAGAATAGAACAGACGGTAAAATGACACGAAGCAACAGGGGTTGCTTCCATCCATGACAGGAAAGGACCCTAAAGAACATATTCACTTATTTCTCAAACACTCACTGATCCTCTGCTATCCACTAGACACAATGGGGAATGCAGGGAGAGGCAACACTGAGATTTTCTAGGGCAGCAGTATCCCCAGAAGGTTTGTAAGATGATTCTCCAGAGCAAGGAGAAAATACTAGAATTTTTATCTATTTGTGTCTACAAAATTAAGTTTCACTAAGCAGTTACAACAAGGAGGACTGAGGGTGTGGCTCAGTGGTAGAGCATGCATAAGACCCTGGGTTCAATCCCCTGCACCACCAAAAAAACTATACATATTGCCACTGGTGCCTTCCCTGGGCTGTACATCCAAAAATCAAGAAGGAAGGGTGACAGTGGCACTCTTCTTCTGCCTTTGCTTTTAGCACATTGTGAATACTGTTTTTTCTCTGCTATAGTATGTCAGTCATGAATTTGATCTGATAAAAAGAGCCTTAAATAGCAGGATCTTTGCAATTTTTTAGAATGGGACAGAGTACCACAGAGGTGGTTCACCTGTAGCAAAGTACCTGAAGCTTGTGCTCTGTAGCAAACTTGCATTTGTCAAAGTTTTCATTTCTTAATAATTTTTGTGACTTAAAAAGCAATTATGTAAAAATCACTATTTAAACAAAAGGAGTTGGGCTGGGGATGTGGCTCAGCGGTAGCGTGCTCGCCTGGCATGCGTGCGGCCCGGGTTCGATCCTCAGCACCACATACCAACAAAGATGTTGTGTCCGCCGAGAACTAAAAAATAAAAAAATATTAAAAAAAAAAAAAACAAAAGGAGCATCAAAAACAATTTTATAATTGTTGACTTTTTTTATAATTATATATACAAATTCATTCAGTTTTTCTTTTATGTTTATAAAACTTACTAAACGGCCTGGGGCTGTGGCTCAGTGGCAGAGCACTTGCCTTGCACATGTGAGGCACTGGGTTGGATCCTCACCACCACATAAAAATAAACGAATATATCATGTCCATATTTATAACTAAAAAATCAAAAATTAAAAAAAATTTTAAAAACTTACTAATTACCTGGAAGAGTTACTTATCCTCTCTCAGTACATATCACATAGTAATTTACATATGGAATTGATAGGTAGGTTTGTGTGTATTAGAGTATGTACTCAAGCCTTTTACTGATAGGCTGCTGCCCTGGGGATCCAGTTGGCTTCAGGGCACAGCCTGGAAGTGACTTTCTCTGGCCTGACACAGATTAGAATTCCTAGAGAGAGAGAAGGGGTGAGGGGAGGGTGCACGGCAGAAGAAAAAGGCCGGCCAGGCCCAGAGGCGCCTCCCAGGCAGGGGCACTACAATTCCTCCAGGCCTGTTCTGCGAGAGCTTGCTGGCAGGGGCCCACACTCTGCCAAGGGTGCTGAACCTAGTCGTGGCTGTTGTGGCAGCAAGACCTCCTCAAGTACCCACCAAGAGGCAGTGTTCACAAACCTCTTTTCCTGAGCCTGGCACTCAGAACCAGCTGCGCTTTCTGAGGCAGAGCTCTGGAAGCTCCTCCACCAAGGCTTCCACCCTGGGGCCCCTGCCAAGTCGACATTTATGATGGGAAAAACAGCCACTGAGAACAACAGGCATCTTGCAAACAGACACAGACAACAGTCCCTGCGGGGCCACTGTATCCTGTGAGGCCCAGCCCAGGCTGGCGCAACCTGGCACAGGCTGGTGCTCCCTTGAGTGAGGGTGGTACTGAAGGTGGGAAGACTGAAAGGAAGTTAAGGAAGCAATTAGAATGAAGCAAACAGAATTTCAGACCGGGAGATGCCAAACAGACTGTCAGACACGTTTGTTTGCTGTCATTACTGCCAGGCAACAAGGCGGTTCTTTCCCATGTTGTGTATCAACCGAGGCTGGTGTGCAGGCCTCCAGGAAAGGCTTTCTGCTTTGTTTTTTAAAACCACACAAAACTTTTCTTCTGTCCTTTAAAGTAGTGGTTCCAGGCCCAGCCCTTCCAGCCAGCTCAAAGGAACGGAAAGGGCTTAGAGTTTCCTGTTTAGTAGCCAAAACCACCAATTTCTGGACCCTTTGAATGTCTGGAAGGCAGCAGCTCCCTTTCAAAGCAGGAGAACCATTGAAAAGTGAATACTTTGGGTGGGAGGCAGTGACAGAGAAGCCTGTGGGTTCCTGCCCCTTTGTGATAGGTGCAGGTCCTCACCTTGCTGTCCTGCTCACTTGGTCAGACTCCTCACAGCACAGAGGTTCCAGGACAAGAACACAGTTCCTCCGCTCATGAGGAAAATCCAACCATACTCAGCTTATCATGCGCTCAGGAGGTGCACAGGGAGATGAGGGAAGCAGAGGTCCACCTGCCTCACCTGCTGTGATATCTGGAGGCTAG